TATTACAGGACTGTGTCTTTACTGAACACTGACTGTAATATTTTATACAGGAAGTATAATATTACAGGACTGTCTCTTTACTGAACACTGACTGTAATATTTCATACAGGAAGCACAATGAGTATTACAGGACTGTGTCTTTACTGAACACTGACTGTAATATTTTACTCATGAACCACAGTGACTATTACAGGACTGTGTCTTAACTGAACACTGACTGCAATATATTATACAGGAAGCACAGTGACTACAGCACACTGGGCGTTCTCCAAGTCTGGAAAGTAATGCCTGACATGGGCAGGTCAGAGACGATGACAGCTCTGTATCGCCTTACTTGTGACACTTCCCGCTGAGCAGGAAGTAGCCGCTCAGACAGCTGTCGCACTTGTCCCCCATGCTGTTGTTCTGGCAGTGGACGCAGACGGCGCTGTCCTCAGAGGGGCCCTCGGACACCCACTGCACAATCTGGCGTGGGCAGAGAGCGAGAGTCAGGACGAGATGGGGAGAGGAGGGTTACGGGCGGGACTGTAACAGAGCCGCCACTGGTTGTGTGACGTTCATGACACGCTGACTGAGCCGTTGACGAACTGTGAGGGACCGTGTGACAAGAGTGTGGACGGCCTTTGTCTGTCGGAAGCAGATTTAATCTGTAAAGAAGGCGAAGCAGAGGGAGAGGCAGAGAGACAGGCCAGAGTCTCAGAGGGAGAGACGGGCAGGCAGAGCGAGAGAGCCCGAAAGGGCAGGGAGCAGGACGTCAGGCGGGGTCCCTCACTCTCTGAGGGTCCAGGGGGAAGCTGGTGGGGTCCCCCTTGGCCTTGTCAAGTTCCTCCCGTGTCAGACAAATGGCGCTGTTCCCTCGGCAGAACTCCTGGCACGGCCGACACGTCCCGCCGTTCGCCGCTGAGCCCACAAACAGTGGCTTACACCTCTCACAGTGCTGACCCTGAGAAGAATAGCCACAGTATGACTGTCCATCACCAGGCTGACGGTGGTGCTGCTGTGTCTCTAACTCCTGTGTGTCTCCAGACTCACCATGGTGTTTCTGTGTCTCCAACCCCTGTGTGTCTCCAGACTCACCATGGTGTTTCTGTGTCTCCAACCCCTGTGTGTCTCCAGACTCACCATGGTGTTTCTGTGACTCTAACCCCTGTGTGTCTCCAGACTCACCATGGTGTT